TCTCCTGGGTGCTGCTGGCAGACACGGTACTGCAGTGCTACACAGCAGCAGCTCCTTGCCTTTGCAAGTTAGCAAAGACAGTTAGCAGCCATATTGCACTGTCTGCTGCTGTCTCCTGGTTGCTCCTGGCCAGCCTCGGTGAGGTCGGTCGGGGGCGCCCTGACAGAAATGGGTGCTCCTGGCTGGCCTCGGTGAGGTCAGTCGGGGGGTGTCTGGACATAAGTGGGAGTGACTTCAGGTCATTCTCTTCTTTAACTTTTGTCTAATGGAGATTCAGTCCTGCCTGAAATATCATGCCAGCTGGAGGCTTTTGCCTCAGGCTGCTCTCCCAGCCGGCAGCACCGCCTGGTCGCACCTACCCCAGCCTACTCCTTTCTCCCATGGCTCATGAAGCCTGGACAGTAGTAAGGAGCAGTTCAACTATAGGCTGAGCAAGTGCAGAATGGTGGTAGAATGTGCCTTTGGACATTTAAAATCTCGCTGGTGCTGTTTGCTGACTAGGCTGTTTGCGATTAGAAGAGCACAGCAAGGCGCGCTACGCATCAGAGAGGCTTTGAAAACCAGTTTCATGACTGGCCAGGCTTCGGTGTGACAGTTGTGTGTGTTTCTCCTTGATGCAAAACCGCCCCCTTTGTTGATTTTAATTCCCATGGACACAGATTTATCTCAAAGCACGGACCCTGGCAATTTGGACATCATGGTGGTAATGGGGCAGGTTCGTGCTGTTGAATGCCGATTCTGGGCCCGGGAAACAAGCACAGACTGGTGGGACCGCATAGTGTTGCAGGTCTGGGATGATTCCCAGTGGCTGCGAAACTTTTGCATGCATAAGGGAACTTTCATGGAACTTTGTGACTTGCTTTCCCCTGCCCTGAATCACAAGAATACCAAGATGAGAGCAGCCTTCACAGTTCACAAGGGAGTGGCAATAGCCCTCTGGAAGCTTGCAACGCCAGACAGCTACCCGTCAGTCTGGAATCAATTTGGAGTGGGCAAATCTATTGTGGGGGCTGCTATGATCCAAGTAGCCAACGAAACCACTGAGCTGCTGCTGTCAAAGGTAGTGACTCTGCGAAATGTGCAGGTCATAGTAGATGGCTTTGCTGCAATGGGATTCCCTAACTGTGGTGGAGTGATATACGGAATGCATATCCCTATCTTGGGACTGGAGCACTAAGGCAGCCAGTATATAAACTGCAAGGCGTACTTTTCAATGGTGCTGCAAGCACTGGTGGATCACAAGGGACATTTCACCAACATCAACGTGGGATGGCCGGGAAAGGTACATGACGCTTGCATCTTCAGGAACTCTGGTCTGTTTGAACAGCTGGAGAAAGGGACTTACTTTCCAGACAAGAAAATAACTGTTGAAGATGTTGAAATGCCTATAATGATCCTTGGGGACCCAGCCTACCCCTTAATGCCATGGCTCATGAAGCCATACACAGGATCCCTGGAGCAGTTCAACTATAGGCTGAGCAAGTGCAGCTGATGGTAGAATGTGCATTTGGACGTTTAAAACTCGCTGGTGCAGTTTACTGACTTGGTTAGACCTCAGCGAAACCAATATTCCCATCGTTATTACTGCTTGCTGTGTGCTCCACAATATGTGTGAGAGTAAGGGGGAAACTTTTATGGCAGGGTGGAAGGTTGAGGCAAATCGCTTGGCCGCTGATTACGCGCAGTCAGACACCAGGGTGGTTAGAAGAACACAGCAGGGCGCGCTGCGCATCAGAGAATATAATATATGGAGATATACCTATCTCAAAGAACTGGAAGGGACCCCAAAAGGTCATCGAGTCCAGGCCCCTGCCTTCACTAGCAGAACGAAGTTCTGATTTTTGCCCCAGATCCCTAAGTGGCCCCCTCAAGAATTGAACTCACAACCTTGGGTTTAGCAGGCCAATACTCAAACCACTGAGCTATCCCTCAAGCTTTGAAAACCAGTTTCATGACTGGCCAAGCTATGGTGTGAAAGTTCTGTTTGTTTCTCCTTGATGAAAACCTGCCCCCTTGGTTCACTCTACTTCCCCATAAGCCAACCGTCCTCCCCTCTCCCTTTTGATCACCGCTTGCAGACGCAATAAAGTCATTGTTGTTTCAAATTCATGCATTCTTTATTAATTCGTCACACAAATGGGGGGATAACTGCAGAGGTAGCCCGGGAGGGGTGAGGGAGGAGGGAAGCACCGGGTGGGGTGAAGTATCAGGGGGTAGCCGTGTTAGTCTGTATCTACAAAAACAACAAGGAGTCTGGT